AGAGACGGCAGCTCTTTCTGTATTGGACAAGGACTTGTTAGGAACATAATCACAATAAATGGCCCTAGAATTTTGAATGTTCCAGAAAAAGTGCAAATATGCTGTCAATCATAGAAAATGGAAAATTCAGCTAGTCGAGATGGATATCTGGACTTGTAGCATGTAATTGTGATGCAGTGAATTGGCTGATGGAAACTCCCCCTTGCAATACTTATATTTTTACCATGTCTAGTCAGCGCCCAACAATTTGTACTCGAATTCCTTTTGTATTGCTCAAAATGGTATAAAGTGGATTTGGATGGCCAAGCTTAGCACTTCTTGGTCTCGTTTTTGCTCAAGAAGTTGATCGTTGCCCTTAATTTATGAGTTTAGTAGTTCAGGGACTTTGGAAATATGTTGACATGAGCTGTTAAATCTGTTTTTGTAGGTTGAAGATGACTTGAAACAAGGTATTGATGGTGCTGTTCCTATTCCAACAGATGATGCTGGGAAAGAGGAGGTAATTGGAGCTTTGGTTGCTAATGTGGTAGAAATGATAAAAGCAGATCGGAAGATCACTGCATTAAAACAATTACAAGTAAGTATTCAGAAACATAAAGTTGTAACGAATAAATATGCTTGGTATAAAGTTTATCTCTGTGATATTAAAATTTATTGATGCAGGGTCATATATGGAGAACTGGATATGGGAATAATGAACTGGAAGGGGTAGTTTATGGTGACGCTCCAGAAGCGTTGGAGAAGTGGCATGCTTTGGGCATAAAGGTTCTTCCTATTTCTATTTTTCAACATCTATCCATTTAGTTTTTGTTTATGCTAGCATGAAATGTGACAGTTGCAGTTTGGTTTCCACCTGTCAATGTAGCTAAATACCCATCAAAGCAAATTCTCACTTCTCTTTGAACGATTCAAACAGTAATTTCTAAAGATCACATGCCAATTTGCTGCCCATTTTTATCCCAAAATACTCCATTACTGTGAACTGTTACTGTTGTAGAGAGGAGGATGTTAGTGCTGCATGTCAAATATTTCTTATTAATAACTGTTCCCTAATGGTAGTTACATCTGAAGTGATGTTGCAACATAATGACTCCTTGGACTGTGTTAGATAGCTATTCACTCAAGTTGTAAAGAAAGCGTTACATACAGTCTATTAAGCTAAATATGAAGTTCCTTGTACGAATAGCTATCATGGATATTGTACTGTGTGTAAAAAGTTTTGAATATTAAGCAATCCGTTGCATGCAAAATACAATGCAATTGCTATCTGAACATAAGGGATGGAAAGCCCACCCAAAAGTAGAAATAGACAAATGAGAATTGGAATATATGAATAATAGTTGTTAGTGGCACTGAAGAGCTAGAGATCCATTGTATAAATGCATGAGAATGGATGGCCCTTGAAGTAGTTCCAAAGTCATGAGAATGGATGGCACTGAAGTTTTTCTGCTTGCCGGATTGTAATCAACTCCTTGACTGTGTAAATTCTCTTTGTGCCATTATGTACCGTTTCTATGTTGCCTCAGGTGTGTATATATATATATATTCTAGTGGAAGCAGGCTGGCGCAAAGACTTATAATTGGAAAGACAAACTATGGAGACCTGAGAAAATATCTGTCTGGATTCTTTGACACCAAAGTGGGGTAAGTTTTATAGATGCTTCCCAAGTTACATTTCTAGTTAAAATTTGGACTTTGACAACACTTTACTCCTGTTTCTTGCAGGAATCAGAAAAAGAGACGCACAGTTATATTGAAATCTCAGAGTCACTTGGAGTTAATAAACCATCTGACATTTTGTTTCTGACGGATGTATTTCAAGAAGCTGTAGGTGCAAAAGCAGCATGTAACAAGTTGCTTTGTTTTCTATTTTATAAAGTGCTGCAAGAGCAGTAGCAAAATCCTCCTAGTGCATCGTTTCACTACAAGTCTCGAGTTACTTAACCAGTTCAATGGATTTCCTTTCTTTTTGTCACTATCGTTGTTTTGAGCATTAGGAAGGAGACAATGTTTGTTGAACCCCTGATAGCCCCTAATAACAACCATGTCATTGCCAAAAAGTTGTAGCTGAATTGCACGGAGTGTCCCAATTTGCAAAGAAAACACTTTCATGTTGCTTCAGCTTCTCAAAAAGAAGCTAATTTACTCTGGTGCCAAGTGTTATGAAATGGCATCTATGGAAGTTTACTCGTCTCCACCAATGAATCTTGAGTTAAGAGCAGATATTTGTTCTGTAAACTGATTTCTGGATCTTCAGCGCCATGCTTGGAGAAAGAAAAGGCCATCTTTTTTCTTTCATGCTATCATTTGCGTTGATATTTGAATTTTCATGCATGTTTCAGGTTTGGAGGTGATGATTTCTATCCAACCAGGAAACGCGCCTCTTCCAGATTATCAAAGTTTCAAGACGGTCACCTCTTTCGCTGAAATCTGAACAGATTTGTACAAAACATTTATCATGCTAAAAATCAAGTTTTGATTGGAAATCTGAAAGAAGATATGCCCTAGTATTGTTGCTAATGTATGATGTATCATTCATTACTCGAGCACATAAATAAAATCAGTTGTTTTTAAAATCAAAGGAAGCAGTTTCCTTTGCATCATCTCTCTGCTTTGCATCACCATGTTTCGCCCGCCCGAAGGGAATGTCCTGCATGATCTGACTGTATTTCAATAAAGGAAAACAGGCTTGAGAGGTCAACTTGGGAATCTTAGATAATGTCTCTCCTAATCAAAGCTGCTGCTAGCACGCAGAAAGACGAGTTTTAAAATTCCCAGCAGCGCTCCACAAGCTGGTTTCATCTCCACAGCTCGATTTTGCACATTGCCATGGTTAGCACTTCAACTGCAGGTTGAGGCAATTGGTTAAATTGAAGCCTGTCATCTGGAAGGAAATAAAAGAAGTGCAGATTGTGTTGGAAAAAAAAAAATTATTATGAACTATTTCAGAAATTAACATACCTAATTGAACACAATTCATATAAGAAAACAGCAAATGGATGGTTATCTTCTACGCAAACCAAAGCACCACAAACAGTTTAAGTCTTCCAGCCAATTATATAAACCAACTTAGAAATCATGTTTTGTCCTGGTTTGGAACCTCATTCAATCCACCCCCAGATGAATAAATCAGCAACTGTTGCTAAAAATCTACTGAATTGATCATTTGATCTGAACATTTGTACGAATTCAGCGCCCATAAAATAGAACACAAAAATAGAATTTAATTATTATGTCAAAATAGAAAAATAATGCTTGAGAAAGCTGCCATCATCTCAATGATTTTTCTTTTTTTATTGCAAGTGCTAAATTCAATTTGTTTCTAGCTTTGTATCTAATTATTATGTGACCACTTGATTTGTTAGATAATTCAAAAGGGATATAAAAACAAATAATAATATTATTCTGACGACTAGGCAAGCATGATCCTTTACCAATGCCAAATATTGGATTACGACGAATTCAAAGTTCTTAGAAGATTTGAAGAAATCCAGACCCTTTAAATTATTAAGTTGTCACCATCTGTGACCTGAGGCCATTCCCTTCGTTGTGGTCGCAACTTCCTGTTGAAGGATTCAAAGAATGCTTTATTAATCTACATGGTGGTCACACATTTGCTACATTAATTTCTATCTTCTTCAAGATTAATTTTCACCTTTTTTTCTTATGAAATAAATATAAATAAAGGTTACTGTGAGATCATAACAGACACAGGTCACGACTGTATATTGCTGGCCCTTGTCACATGTAGGATTTTGACTTTTACTTATTATTATTTACGATAAAAGATTTTTTTGAAAAATCATGTTGATATATATTAAAGAAAGGATCTATTTAAGAATGCGATAAAATTACTCTTAAAATTTTTTAACGCGGTTCTGCCAGACGAAACCTAAGTCAGCAGCCACCGGAGAAATATGAGTAAAACAGTTGGGACCATAAATTTTAGATTATTTTGTAGCTGAAGTGCTCAAAGGTATGGTTGGCCTAAGAATTCAACGTTGTGCTCCGGTCAACCACAACCAAGAAAGTATTTATTTTGCGGTCATGAACGGCACCATGCACAGCATGTCTTGAATACCTTCAACAATACACAACATGCCCTGAATACCTTTGTGCTCTGTGGTGGCCCAAAACAATGACGGCACACAACCACACAGCAGCACGCAAGTGACACCACCACCGAAGAGATGCGGGTACAGCTAGTGTATGCATCTACACTTGGTGGGCCAAAAGTTGCCCATCTGAAGTCTTGATCAAATAATTTATCCACCATTCAATCATACATGTGAGAGGGAATGGATGTGTTCTGCTAGTTTTTTCAAAGAGACAAAATCATTAAGACCTGTTGACGAACACGGTGGAAAAAAAATCAATATCTCGTTGAGATTTCTCCTTTCCTTTTGTCCAAGAAATACTACTAGCCTGGAGGCATTATAGACGTATAGTTTTTCCAAACTTTGAAAACTAGGCCAAGAAAAGTGGATTCGGCGGTCTGATAATTGCAGATATTCACCAGCATGCATGAGTGGTGCAAGCTCTTATTTTGCTTTCGCGGTGAACAGGATTATAGCTGGCCGGCCAGTCACAAGAATTTACATCTCATGTGTATGTGTGTCTTTTGTTGGAAATTAATCCACAGAAACTGCCCTTTGCCAGGCACCCAAAGAAGGTGCCAAAAGTTGCTCAACTTGCAACAAAACCAGTACAAAAAGATCACGGCAGCTCTTTGTCAAATAATGCCCTAACTAGACCATACAGACATAATAAATGACTGGGTAAACTTTAAGAGAAAGTCCCTCACATTTTCTCTGCTTTTCTTTTGTTGTTCGGCTCATACTCTTATCTTTTCCTTCCTTTTCAATCATCATCATCATAACCAAGTCCACTTTCTCTTCCCTTTTTTCTATTTTTTCTACCCTTTCTTATGCTTTCCCCCCCATAATAACAGGGTCTCTTCTTAAGTCAAAAAACGACTACACCTTAAGCTCAACATATTCAAATTTAAAAATAGAATAAGAAACGAAACAATAACATTGCATGATACCATATTTGCATAGCAATTGAAAGTTCTAGCTAAGGACAATGACTTCACTTCCTTCTTGAAAGAAGCGAACTGAGATAGTTCATTAACTTGTCTTGTTCCCTTACACGCACTTTACAAATTGTGCTAGATACCCAAAATATCTAAGGATGCCTCGAGTTCATTATCTCTCAGTTCTCTAGGTGGGGGTACTGATCAAGAATCTGAGCACTCAGACTGCAAGAAAATCTTATACCAAGTAGTTGGCCATGATCCAGGGCAGAAATCACTGTGTCCTATAATGAGCATGCATTAGACCACAGAAAAAGAAACCAGAGAAGGAAAAGAACAGGAGACCAGTAAAAAAATAGCATGCTTCTGTATTTATGACATTAATGGTAAATAATTTGAGCTATTCAGCTGTTCTGATCTCAATTCTGATCCCACACCTTCTCTTTGGATAAGTTGCTTTTCCTCTGTCATCTCTCCCTTGTACTTTTTTTTGTTCTGTCAATAATATATAAATGCTCAAAAAACAGTGGGTGAACTTAATTGTTGAACATCTAGTTTGTGGGCCATTTAAGGACAAAAATACCTTCCTCGAAGAGGGCTTGATCAGCATCCCAAAGTGGAGATCGACCTAATTAACTAACTTAACAGGACCAGATCAAGCATTACATATCAAAAATTGCAGAACATCTTTATACTCATCTCCACACAAGTTGATTAATTTGACACTAACATTGTTATGCAGTCTGCTCCAACAATGATTGAGCAAGCCACATACTTTTTTCTTTTTCAACTCTCTTAAATATTTCAGTGCAGCTTGTAAATGTTTGCCCTATTTTTGGTGATTAAAGTTTAATTTTATATCTACTATTCATCGGTCAATAAGATAGTGGAAAAGAGAGCTCATATATACATGTAAAAGAGAAGAAAGAACACTATAGTTCCTATAAAATTAAAGGGAAGAAAATCAGTAATGTACACACAAATACATCCAGTCAAATTCATTTACCCATGTTGACAGTCCTATGAAACAAAAAGGGAAGAAAGGAGATTCACCTAAATAACTTTATATAATGATAAAATATAGTCCCCAATTATTAGAAAATTTACCTGAAAAAAGAAAGGAAAGGGAAAGGGAAAATGGTTAAACAAATTACTTAGAGGCTTTACCAATATATGATGAAAAGAGAGATCGAATTGTACAATTGAACACAAAGATTTCTACCTCTCCATCAAAAACATCAATAGCCCATCATCAATCCCTTTGACTTGAATATTTTCATGAAGAAGAGCCTGAGACTTTCGGTGAGGTTACAGGAAAAAGCGACAGCAACTGGGGCTCTGAATCTCTAGGAGTAGAGATAGGCGATGGATGCAAATAAAAACCTTTCTCTGCTATTGCTCTCTCCTCTTCTGATGATGAATTCCCTAAAGAAGGAGAGCTCTTGTTAAAAGGGTCTTCATTTAATGGGGTTACAGGGCTAAGTGTAAGTTTAGGGAAGTCAAGCATGCTTGGAGACAAGATCTCTGGTTTGTTTCTTGGTGAAAACCCGGTAACTGAGGAAGCGTTACTACTGTTTGCAAAACTAGGCAATAGAGTATTGATCATGAGACTGTTTTTAAAGCTGTTGTTTCTTCTTTCATAAAGTTTGAAGCTGTTTTGTTGTCTCTTGGCTGGCATGTTCTTGATAGGAGGGATGGCGTAGTTTCTTGAAGTTTGAGTCGGTGTTGTTGGTGGATCTTGGGTTGTCTTGGAGGAAGCCTGTTTTGCTGTTTCTGTTGAGCCAGTGAGCATCTGGACAACTTGTTTGAAAGTAGAAGTGTCTGCTTGGACAAAGGTTGTTGGGTAAGGGTTAGTGTCAGATCTGGAGATGGGTATTGGAGTGACTGTTGAGGTGTGAATCTGGACCCCATTGTTGCTTCCATTGCCGTGAGGCGAGTTTATTGGAGATGGGTTTCTGGTTTCTTGAAACCTTGCTGAGGTTTCCATCGAGAATTGTTCTACTAACAATCAAGCGTAGCTAGCTAGCTACCTCCTTCCCTTAGCTCTCTTATTGATTTCCTCTTCCACCACCACAACACCACCTTTAGAGAGAGAGAGAGGGGGGGGAGAGAGAGAGAGAGAGGGTTTGGAGAGCGAGCAGGGGGAGGTAAAAGGACTGGTTTCCTTTCCTTCCAATGAGTTGGTGTTGGTGTTGGTGTTGGTGTACTTAAAGAGTCAAGACTCGAAAAAAGAAAAAGGATGGATATATCTAGTACCTCTCTCTCTAGACTTTTTTGTATGCTCTTTTTTGGGATTGATTGGCCATGGCCTGTGAGAAAATGGCCAAGTCTGTGTTTTTGGGATTATAAAAAGATTGCAAGGGTATTGGTTGTATTTGGAACTTTTGGGCAGCAGCATCAGTGCCAAGTTCTCCTATGGAATCTCAAAGCTCAGGATAGTTTTTCATATATATATATGTGTGTGTGTGTGTGTGCTCGTGGCATTGACTTCAGCGCCCTGACCACAAGGACTCCTTGTGTGATGGGATTGGAGGAGATGGCTAAATTTCAGCAAGAACAAACAACTGTGAATTCAAGACATGTAGCCTCTGCGCGTGACTTCACGCTCCGCCCAGATGGGTTTGCATTCTTTTGCGCACTCCAGGTCCTGCCTCCACTTGATCGGGATCCTCTTCCCTCCTGTCAAGTGTGCGCTAGCTGGTAGCCAAGTACTTAGCTATCAATGTGTATATCTCTAAATTTGTGTTTTTCCATTTGGATAAAGTTTTGGAAAAAAAAAAGGCTTAAATTTCGTGGTTTTCAAATGCAATATTTTAAAGAACGACGCTTGAAACTCAAAGAGGATTACAAAGAATAAAAGAATGATATGCATATGGACATATGAAAGTTTTAATAATAATATCTTCGAGAGATCAGTAGAAAAAACTTAATAAAATAAATCTACAAATATTAAAAATAAAAAAAAAACTAATTACAATGTGTATAATTCACATATTTTACCAAAAAATAACGGATACTTTATTTGTTTTTAAATGTCATGTGTCAATAACACCCTTTATTATTGATAATATTTTTTGATGTTAATAGATTTATCTTGTTAGTCTCTTTCTAATAATTCTAGGAGTGTCATTAGAAAAAAACTTAACAAAACAAATCTACAAATATTAAAAAAACTAATTATGATGTGTATAATTCACATATTTTATTAAAAAAACAATGGATTACTTACTTGTCTTTAAATATTCCATGTGAATAACATTTTTTATTATCAATAATATATTTTGATGTTTATAGATTCATCTAGGAGTGTCACAAGCAAATATGTTTTTAGTATTTTTATTTTTCTCCCTTCTCCTTAGAGTTTGTGATAGTTCATTTCTCTCTCTCTCTTTTTTTTAATATAATTGTATTTTTTTTTGAAATACCACACTTGGAAACAATTATATTTTTCAAAATCTTTTTTTGCATATGCTAATTAATTTTCCAAAAAAATTAAAATGTGTGATTTTTCAAAAAAATCATACTGCTTTGCAATTTTTTTTGTTATTCTCTCATTCCCCTTTTGTGTATTTAATTATATGTAAATACAATTTGTTGTAATAATTAACTCATTTAATTTAATCCCAACGCTATTTCTGCTATAGGTCTTGCAAACTCCTGGGATTAAATAAGTACAATAATTAGTCACGATAGAGCTAGGACAGCATTCAAAGATGCCCGTGATTTTGCTTAGTTATATAGATGTTGATAGAACAAAATACTGTGGAAGTCGAACAAATTAAGATCACCGAGTGCCTTCACTTCTCCTGTTTTCCATGTACTGTTTCGACTAGGAAGAGAGGTATCTGTATCTTTTCTTCCTTTTCATGCAGATCTTCTAGTTACCAAACACACAGTGCTGAGTTGATATGATTGGCCCTTAGATTCATGAAGGTTAGGAAGTTCTTTCAATGGCGGTTGATAGCATAAACACTGTTTGTGGATATATATCTGCTAACATTTTATGGAAGGATTAGATCAGTCACCTAAATTGAAAAGAAAGAAGTGAGTTGAGCCACCATCTCTGATGAGAAAGAAAGATGGAGAGTGAGTTGATACATCTTAACAACCGTACTTTAATTACCTATAATTTCTTCCAAAGCCGACATTTGGAGTTCTTAATCAATCTGTTAGTCGTAATTAATTATTCTTAACACGCACCGTCTCGGTAATGAAATAATATTGGATTATTTTAGCAAAAAGAAGATAATTAGAATCTTTTTATTGCTTAATTAAACGTAAATGGAGGATGGATTAATGTGTTCGGTTTCAAGAATTGGTGTAGGGCGTCAAAAGCAATAATCCGATTCCGATTTTCATCACCGAATCAAGTTTATCAAAAGTTTCTTCTTAATTAATTATAGTTGACTATATTAAATATGAAAAAAGAGGAGAAAAAAAGAGAATCAAATTCTCAATTATTAGATTTTAGTATGATAAAAAAAAAAAAAAAAACATACGGGGAAAGAAGGGTGGGGGACCAAGATCCCATTGATGCCATGCTGCTCGAAAAGGGATCACATTCTTTCACATATAAAATCATTATGTCTGGTTTGTGGAGTTCCTAATAAACTCCATTTATGATGAAAAGGCCATTAATTAGCCTCAAGATATATATATATATATAAACTGCAAGCAAAATAATAATTGATGCTGCTAGATTTTATAATGAGAATTAGGAAATTCGATTTATCATGGAATTTGATTCATCCAAAATGAATAAGAATCAAACTAAAATCTTCTGCAAGTAGTTAACAAAAGAAAGTTTAAATCCCACACCTCCTCTCAAAAAGAGAATTCGAGAGAGAGAGAGAGGAGGGGGAGAGGGTGCAAATCTCAAGTGGATAATGGAGTATCCTCAAGTAGGTCCAATTGATAAATATGAACGAGATGATTGACAGCAAAATCTTAAATTATTATGCGATCTTTCACCATATTGGATTGCACTGAGGTGATTATTGCACGAGAATGACTGTCTGTCTCTCCCATTCTGCCCGTAGCTGATATTTCTGTGTCAAAATCCATGTTGATGAACGTACCTTTTTGCGAGGTAAGAACTGGGATTTCCCTTGTCATTTCCGTTGTTGCAATGCAGGCTGCAATCGGGACGCTTGGCTTGTAAATCTCTCTCAAATTGCTCTCGTTGCGCTTGCCATGCAACAGCCAGAACTTCGAGCACAAGCTCCTTTGCCACTAATCTGATGAAAGATTTGAATTGGACTGCTATGTTTTGTCTGTTTTTTGAACTAGTAATTGAATCCTTTCCCTATTTCATCACCAACATGAATTGCAGGAGGAATAAAATTTAATCCTTGCCCCGTATAACATTTAGCATTCTTCCTAATAATTAATAATCAGCACTGGTTTATGATGTGTTCTTCAGCAATAAATTAAGCTAGTTTATTGGGTTTTCAATTTGGAAACAGAAACTCAATGATTACTAGTTTTGATTTCTGTGTTCCGCTGCAGGTATAGATTTAAGATTTCGGTAGTACCTTTGTGAGTTTTTTTAAACAACTGGCGTCAACTCATGACATGTGCTTTTCATTCAGACACATTCTGATTTCAATAAAACTACAAGTGGATGCTGTCCAAACTCTTTTTTTTTTATTATTATTATTTTGAAAATCACACTAAACCTCTTATAGTTTAATCATTTATTTGCTTTATTCCCGTGTTTTTTTCAGGATTTAAAGTGTTGTAAAGCTATTAAAATTTAGGATTTAAAGTATAATTTTTAAAAACATGAAAACAAAGTGAAAAAAAAATTATAAGAGGTTATATGTAATTTTTTTTAAATTCTAAGCAATGTTTTTTTGAAAGTACAAAAGAAAAAGAGCATGCCATAAAAAACTTTTTAATAATTTTATTAAATTTAAATCAACGCGTCAACTTTAAAATCTCTTGATCTCAATACATACCTGATTCGAGCTTCAAACCAAACCATATAAGAGTTTTTATGATGTGAGCAAATTGATTTGATAAATATAAAAACAACCCATATAATTCATAAATTTTTATTTTAATATTGAAATAAAAAGATATTGAATTATTCATAAATTTTTATTTTAATATTGAAATGAAAACTTATTGGATCTTATAGAGTTAACTTAGATTAACCACTAAATTTATAAACTAATCATACATACAACTAGAATACTCTAATATGATTAAACAATTGTCTTTTTTTTTTCTATTTTATTTAGCTCTTTTTTGGTTCGGGTCAGATAAAATTCAATACTAAATTAAAAAGGTATTAAAAAAGAATATTTAAAAAAAAAGGATTTAGGCTCAAATAAAATAAAAATCGGGATTCAATTAAAGAGTTATTATAAAACTAGGGACTAGTCTTTCAAAGCGGCGCGTGGTATCTTCTTCACTACAACAACCAATTTGTGAGCTCCTTTAGTTTTTATTTATTAATTTATTCATTCATAAGTTTTTCTTAACTTAGAACATGTGGAGCAACGACAGACAACTGAATTAAGCTATATAATATGTTAATTAATTAATAGAAGTCAAGAACATAAAAATCTTAACCAGGCAGCCAGTGGCTAAGATGGAGGTTCGACAAGTGAATTCTAATTTTAAAAAAACCGTCCAACATTTGAATCCCATAACTTAGTGTCCACAGTTGTGTATTGACCCAAAGGGTGTGCTTGTTAATGGTCAGAAATCGTCACAAAAAGCTTGTGGAATTTCATTCATGTCCTATCATGCATGCCTGTCCACTGTTTCATATATATATATATATATATATATATGTTTATAGTAGAGGGGCATTAAAGCAGGGCAGAATCTAGGAGCCACGGAGAGGGGGCAAAACGACCCCTTCTACAATATCCTATAAAAGCAGAGATTCCTACACTAAAATAGATAATACTAGGAGTGGGCTGCGGGGCTGGATTGTCTTTTTATATTTAAATGCGGCAAGCACCTTTTTTTCAAATTATATATAACTCAAGTGCTATTATTATATCTTGAAAAATAAAATTTCAAGAGAAAAAAAATAATGTAATTCTAATTAAATATTAAAAAAATAAAATTAAATAAAAAAAAAACACTATTCAAGTCAATCTAACTTAACATAACAAACACGTAATTTAAATAATAAAAAATGAGTTAACCTATATTAATATTCCAAGTCTTTGGTCCAACTCATGAGATCAATATGACTAGATAAAAAAAATTAAAAAAAAAATTATAAAGCTAATTTTTATATAAAAAGTAATATCGAACAATGAAATAAAAAAAATAAGTAAAAATAAAAAATATTAAATTGCATTAACTCTTCAAACCTGTAACTCGAGTCATTAGACCGGAAGAATTATACATGAAAAAACTATAAAACCCAATCATTTAACAAATCAAATATTGAAAGGAAGAAATCAAATAAAAAAATTAATTTTATAAAAGAATCCAAAATAAAAAAAATAGCAATTAAAACATGATGATAAAAGTCAAAATAAAAAATAAATTAGAGGGAAATTATAATTTTTTTATTGAAAGGTGAAATTAAAAAAAATAACTTTAATAAAAAGATAAAAAATCATAAAAGAACCAAATCATAAAAAATAATATATCATGGATTTGGATTGAAGAAAGAAATTGAAAACCAATAAAAATTATACTAAAAGGTCAAGAAAAGAAATTAAAAATAAAAAAATAAAAATTAAATTTAAAAAGTATAAATCATAATAAATAATTTTTTTACAAGGAAAAAAACTAAGTAAAAAATTTGGTTGTCATTAGTTGGTCAACTGTAATCAACGAACAAGAATGCAAGAACTAAGTACCCAATTAGGCATCTATTCATGTGTAGAGATATGCTCATCAAGCATCCCTTTAATTTAACATTAAATTAATTTCCATAGTATGCTTTATACGTGTTTGATGTCTCATAGTTGACCGCAGAGCATTGTAGAATTATTAATTTATTTGTATATAAGAACATTAGTTTTCCTCGAGAAATATATATATATATATATAAGGCCTTAGCGTTTATTGTACATGCATTGTATATAGATTATTGTGGGTTGAAATGATAAAATGATAATTTTATATTTCTCAAATGTAAATAGCTATTCAGAGCAAAACAATAATATATAAGTTATTTCACATTTTAGATACACATTGAAATGATTTAAATATTTATTACAAAAAAAAGTTTAACTTGGATCAAGGGCTTTCAGCCTTTTACAACTTTGATTGGATAATATAATAATTAAATTGTCATTAAAAGAAAATAATAAAATTGATATTAACATATATTTATCTTTTTTATCATAGCTTTTTTTTTTAATCGTTATCAATTTAAATGAGAGACAATTCAATTTTTTAACAAATTTAAATATAATTAACAAATAAAAGTGGTGCATGCACTAACTAACGAGTGATAAACACCTATATTATTTTGACAATGTGTGTAATGTCTTTTAGTGGTCAAATGTAACCTTTTATTGAGTTTGAAGGATTACAATGTTCTTTTTTTAGTGGCCAGCTTTATATGAACAACGGAGAACTGATTGGTTTTCAATTGATTTTTTTATCTTTTCCATTTTTTTTCTCTCTCTTCTTGCATGGGATTTCACTCTAGTCTTTTTAAAAATAAATTGTTTTTTTTTCAATTTGTATTTGTATCATATTTGGTATTCTTTCTCCTAATTACTATTTTTTTTTGCTTTTAATTTTTTTAATTTTATCCCTTAACATTTTATTCATTTAATTTTTGCATCCAATTTAGCCCTTATTTTTTATTGCTATTTTTTAAATTATTTTCTTGAATTTTTTTTTTAAATCCCATCCCTTAAAATTTTATTTCATTTAACTTTTATATCCAACTTAGTCTTTATTCTTTCAATTGTTATTTGCTTTTAACATCTTATTCATTTATTTTAGTTTTCAATTTAGTTTTTCATTATTTTCTTTCATTTAGTTTTTATAATAGATATGTTCATCATTATTTTGATTGTTATTTATTTTATTTTTTAATTTTGGATGATTAGGAATCTTGTTTTGTGATTTTTTCTTATTTATCTTCTATGAAGTAATTTTGGTCTCATAACTCAAGTCACGAGTTTCGAAGATTAACCCAATTTACCTTTGATATGTTTTTTTTTTCAAATTAATTTTTTATTTTAATTTCATTGTTCGACATTAGGTTATTGGGTTTTGAGCTTTGTGATTTTTTCTCATTTTTTATGAAGAGTTAACTCGATCTCATATCCCAGATCGTATGTTAATCAAGTTAACTTGATTTTTTTTAAAATTGATTTTTTTTCATATTCTGCTTTCATCATTTAATTTGTTTGAGAGTTGACCTCCATTGTTATAATTCATATGATAATTGTATAATTTAATATATATAAATATTATTTAAAAATAGTTGTTGATGTGTTAACACATGCGGGGTTGTCTGATAGTCAAATGTTATCTTACACAGCGGTGTTTGAATTATCTCGACATCACCTCTATATGAGGTAATATATATTGCCAAAGGCTGTCCAATTTGATAATGACAACCTATTTTTTCTCTCTCTTCTTTAATTTTCACACTTACGCCATTAAAATCTCAAAGCAAGTTTTCAATTTTTAATCCCTTTAGACTTTTTTCTTGTTCTTTTAATTATTATTTATTTTATGTAAAATTATTTATGAAATTAGGATTCCTTTTAAATTTCATCCCCCTTCTATTTTCTTATATTTCAAATTTGATTTTTATTTTTTTGATTGCTAATTGTTTTTTTAAATTTTTTTTAAGTTTGATATATATATATATATATATATATATATATATATAATTACATCTTCATTAGTTTTTTTTTTCTATCAAATTCAATCCGTATCCTTTTGATTTTTTTTTTTTTACTTTAGCAATTTTTTTTAATTTTGTTTTTGGTTTCATACTTCAATATTAAATTGGTTTGAAATTGATCTTCTTGATTGAGTCTGAATCTAGGACTTTATGAGTTGAAAGTTTTAGAGATTAACTCAGTTTTAGAAAGTTCGTTCAAGTTATCTTGTTTTTTTAATTAATATTTTTTTAATTTCATCATTCAATCTTATATTGATTTTAAATTATTATTTTCTTCAATTTTTTTATTCAATATTAAGTTGTTTTATAGTCAAACTTCATGATTTTATTCATTTTGCTTTTGTTAATATTTGTTTACCTTCCTATTGTAATGGATAATTGTTTAATTAAATAAAACATTTACTCTAAATAACAAAATTATTAAATATGACTGAGTACATGACTCGAGTTGTGAGGTCTAATAACTTAATTTTATTTATCTCTTGACCAAATATAAATTTAATAAATTACATAAGCTTATAAGGATTTGAGTTTATGATTGAGAATTATCTATATCCAATAACATATTGGAAAGACCTGTATATTTATTTTTTTATTAAAAAAATTATCTAGCCTTCATTGAAATATGGGTTAAATAGCTAGTACAAGCTATCATGCATACTTTAACAAAGTCCTTTTTGGTGATCATTTAACTTTTCATATTGTTTTTGTTCAACAATAATGACTTTATGCTTATAAATAAATTAAAATTCAATCTATTTCTTAGATGATATTAAGAGTGTTGATGTATTAATAAAAAATTCTTCAATATGCTAAATCCAGAAAATTAATGATACTACAACAAAATCAACTTTAAATGATATTTTCTAAAAAATACTAAAATAAATGCTATAATAGATATAGATTATAATGATTTTTCATAACTATCATTATTATATATTCTTAGTTGCATTTTCTTAATTTTAATGATAATTATAGTATATCTTTACCCATATTAAAAAAATTCAGACCCATGATAAATTTGATAAATTCACTGTATACCTGGACACATATTATTATTCATTATAATAGCATAATTATATTTTTTTTTCTTTCAAATGAATTAACTATTGGGGTAAAATGGTCTTGTCTTGAGAATTGATTAGTCATTATAAGATTGAATGGAGATAGTTTAATATTTTTATTTTTTAAATGCATAATGTAATAACTATATTACCCTTAAAAGAAAATTCTTTGAAAATGTTGAAGAGGACAATGCGATATTTTTCCACTTTAAAAGAACAATGAAAAAACTATATCGCTCTTAGAAATTTGTAAATTTATATCCAGGTGTATTTTTGTAATTGAAATTGTTTTTTTAATAAACAAGTTAATAAAGGAGCAATTTGATCTTTTGATTAAAATGAATATTTTTTGAAAAAAAGTTGTTGGCATATGCGGCGAAGTTAATTTATACTTAAAAGTGTATTTTTATCACGGTTTTATATCATTATTTTGCACTTAAAGTATCAATAACTCCTTAACTAAAACATGTTTTATAATAATATATCTAATAATATAAGATACCTTTAATTTATGGTAAAT